TCTCTCTCTCTCTCTCTCTCTCTCTCTCTCTCTCTCTCTCTCTCTCTTGCTCTCTGTCTTTCTGTCTCTCTCTTTCCCCCCTCTCTCCTTTTTCCTTTACCTTCCCCCTCCCCCCCCCCCCCCTTTTCCCCACCTCCATCTCTCTTTGTCTCTTTCACATGCAGGTTGAGCCGCTACTTAAGCTGGGCAGGTGGTGAATGATTCTGGTTTTCTTGGGTATTTCCTAGGGCCCACATACTGCAGCCTGTTTTTGTATAGCCATGAGCTAAGAATGGTTTTTGCATGTTTGAATAAAGTTTTATTGTATTTACACATGTAAAACCATTCTTTGCAGCCCACTGTGAGAACAGGTGGTGGGTTAGATTTGGCCGACCTGTGTCTAGTAAGGAATGGATTCTGCTGAATTTTTTTGATGCCAAGTCAACAGGCGTTTATTAAGTGCCTACTATGTGTCAGGCATGATGCACTAAGTGGGGGAGATACAAAGTAAGGCGGAAGACAGTCCCTGCCCTGGAGGAGCTCATGGTCTTAGGTGTTTCCCAACTTATTTGCTGCTAGTAAAATTCTGTTAATGTATTGAACTTGGGGCCTTTCCTCATGTATTTCATGCCCTCATTTGGCCTGAGCGCTCAGTTTCTCCTTTGAATAGAGCAGTGGCAACGCCAATCTCTCAGTCTCTTTCTCTTCTATACAGCTTTGATAGGTGCCCCTGGGAAATTCTAGCCAGTCGTTTTGTGGCAGACAATTGTTTTTGGTAAACTTGGTTAGTTGATAACAAAAAATGATCCTGTATAAGCCCTTTCAAAGTAAAATGTAAATCTTCTCTCCTCACCAGCAATTTAGGAAATTGGCAAATGCCAAGTCATAATAATTTCATATTCAGAGAGCGTTCCTCTTAACCAAATGCTTGGAAAGAGAATTAGATTTTCTGACAAGGCACTTAGAGGGTATCAGCTGGTGTTGGAGATCTGGGGGAGGATCTCACTGGACTAAGTGACTCATCTAAAGTCATCCCCTCTGGACCCCAGAGTCTTTACCAGTAATAGAATTGGCTTCAGGGAGTTCCAGGTGTGGTGTCTGTCTGTGTGTGGGGGGGTGTCTTTGGTTCCTCATAATGCCTACGTCTCTGGGTCGTTGGAGAACATTCGGGAAGGGGATGGCAAGAGAGGAATTTCTCTTTGAATTTCTCCTTGAATATGTCTAAGAACAGGATGGAAGTCCATGCAGTCTCCAGACTGGTTCAGTGCTGCCTAGATACAGGGGTGAATGAGAGAAATTTGGGTTGTCCTTGCTTCTCATAATAGTCACCCAGACGTGTGTGGTCCTTCTTAAAGTCTGCAAAGGGCTTTCCTGCACCAACTTTGTGAGCTGGGCAGAGAACATGGTATTAGCCCCATTTTACATAGTTGTGAGTTTCAGGAGAGGGGAATGGCTTCTGCTTGGTTAACATTCCATAGCCTGAGCCTAAGGTTCCGGCCTTCTGTCTCCACAACCTCCAAGCATCAAGGTTCTAATGGGAAACCAGGCTAAGATTTATTAAGAACCAAGTGTCTTAATTTTCATAATAGTGTTTTCATGCAGCTGCAGCTCCATAAAGGAAAATCTTGGGTGAAATCAAATGAGTGCATAAATGAATCATAAATTTCTGCAAATGACTTTTTAAGTATTTGTTATCTTTTGTGAGAGCAAGGGTTGAGCTTCAGTATTTATAGGAGGAAATTGTGAATCCAGGAAAGCTTAGGGTGGCATGAGCATGGAGAAGGGATGGCTTCTAAAAATTCAT